TGTCGCAACTGATCCACATGTTCGGTTGGCACTCGCATATCATCCACGAATATATCTATCGGGCTCTCCAGACTTCTTCCTGGAGAATGTATCTTATGATACTCCTCAGAACTTTTGGAGCTATATTAATGCCAAATCCTAGGCGATCCAACCGCATGTACCTCGTTAACCCGTTCTCATCTTTTATGATGAGGCCTTGATATGCTGCGCATTCAGGGCTCATATGGATACACAGGTACGCTTTCTTAATATCTAACAATACCCAGCTATCTATTTTATGACCATCACTTGTATGATTCACCCTCCATCGACGGAGCGTGTTATCGACGGTAACGTGATCGTCTGAATTGGGGTATGAATATACTTGATTATTCAAGGGCTTGAAATCGATAACTGGACGGCATGGAGTTGTAACTTTATGTTCTTGCGCGACTCCCATCAACGTCAACGTCCCTTTCAAGTCTGTTCTTTTGACTTCTTGTATGAAGCCTTGACATTCCCAGTTCCTGATCTCTGTTTGCCATCTTTCTAATTGTGACTGACTCAGTGACGCCATCTGCTTCTCGTAAATGGGAGGACGAAATACCCCTGGTGGTGCTCTATTATCAATCCATTTCCACTCCACTTGCCATACAGACATGCCGTCATCATCTGTGAGCCTATGGGCAACAAAATCAGATTCATCTATAATAGCTGTGATTTTCTTTCCAGTTTCTTCATCTATTCTGACTTGAGAGTCTGTGCCTGAGGCTAGTGCTGGCGAAGCGGTTATTACTGGCTCAGTGTGATGTGTGCTCTCGAATATCACGGGAGAGTGCATCGCTATCCAATCGCAACCCAAAATCACATCAACTCTATACGGACCAGCGTGCACTATGTGATCTACATCAACCACTAGTACCGACATGGTATTCCGCAGTTCCTTATCACAACTCAACACAGTAGCTGGAATCTTTGCGATGTTACACAACTGAGGACCTTTTATGGTCGATAATGCAACCTGATGGCTTTCCACCGAACAACAATGCCAGTCTTTATCGATTTCGCTCAACGCCGATCGGGTTATGATTGAATCACTTGATCCTGAGTCAACAAGGCAAACGAGATTATGTTCAGTTTGAAGTAGCAACGGCATAGGGGAGTCTAACATATGAAACCGGCTCCCAAGGTTGCTCACCTTCAACGCCATCCTTGCCTTGGCAAGAAACCTACACGTCTCAATCGTGTGGTTTGTCTTGTTGCAGAACTCACATCGCTTCGTTTGCTGTACAGGTGCACGACTTCTCATTCCTTTACCTTTACCTTTTCCGCTTTTACCGCCTTTGCCACCCTTACCTTTCCCGAGCTTAAAATCAAACCGTCGCACACCAGGTGCGGCTACTCGTGGTTGACTAAGATTGTCAAACGAAAGCCTAGCACGAGTTATGATCTGCTCATAGGATTTGGTAGGATCGAGGCAGACAGGCTTTATGGCAGAACTAGCTGGATGATCATGAGGCAAGCCACTGTAGAAGAACAACTTCATGATCTCACCTTGGCACCGCTTATGGATATTGCTGAAACTTTGCCGCACAAAACGGCTCACAGCAGTCGCATACTCATCAACCGAGGTGTAGTCGTTGAAGTTGACACTCTTCTAACTAGCAACGGCCTTATCAGGGCTACAACCGAACCTCTTTCGTAGCTCAGATCGCAGCCGAGCAAGGTATCGCTTCCCACAAGGATCGATGGACTTTTGCTCACATGGGACCATCTTGGCTGCCTGATATGCCGCTCCCGACACCGATAGCTTGAGTAGCACAGTCTGGTCATAATAATCTAAGTTAAAACCTTCGGGACCGGCAATCATATCAAGCTTGTCTAACCATTCTTCTACATCTTCATTAGCACCACCACTGAACTTCACGGCATTCTTACGAAGCTCAACCATCCGTCGAGCTTTCGAAGCCTCGACTAAGGATGATGGCCTGGTGTCATCCGAGACCTCCTTACGCTTTTCAGGCGCTCCATCTTTCACGGGCTTAGTAACCTCTTCCTGAGGACGCTCCGCATTATCTATCTCATCATCACTATGATGGCTTGAAACATTATCATCTATATACAATGCCTCGCCACCTTCGTGATCGGGATCATTGTTGATATCCCCGGCGTCATCTTCGTCTTCTCTGTAGAAATCAGAGAGAGGGCGAACTTGACGTGCACGGGGAGCATTCACGCTACCAGAGCCTCCGCTCGACGAGCTAGGGTTCTGGGCACCAGTTGAACGCAATGCTGGGGAGAACATTAGGAAAGTACAAGAAAACCTAGAGTAGTAAGTTGATGGTTCAATAGTAGTTTCAAATAGTGGTACAGCTAATATAGCTTAATCGATCAGTAGCTTTACCAGCTAAAGTGGGACATGGCTCAGTGTAAGAGTCGGACCCAGGAATAGATCCTGGGACCTTTCGGTTCGTGAACATACAGGTTAACCACGTGGCCATATAGACCTAGTGGTACATATTCACTAGCCTAGACCTTGCACTCCACTAGCAGACT